AAAGTGCCAGAGTGGGAAAGAGCCTTGAGACCTGGCCATACTATGTATTGGGCAGGTGTGATTTGGGGAAGGCACTGAGGGGGGGAAGCGAATATTTTAATAATGGTCACTCATTTCCAAAGGCTGTGTTCACCCATGCAGATATTTCTCTGCTTAAGGTGAGCAGGGAAGGAAAGGAAGGTCATTTACTGCAGGTTCCAATCAGGACTATATAAGGTTTCCCTCAGAACTGTGAGAGGGGCAAGGAGAATGTCAGTACTCAGGGGTCAAATACCCCATTTGCTTTCACTCTAATCCGAGGAGAAGGGTGGCCCAGCAGAAGCATAACAGCAGTTTTCACTGCACAATTTATGTGAAAGGAAGGGGGAGTCTTTCCTGCCAGCCTGGATGGCTGAGGCTGAGCGCATGGCTGGCCAGTATGCGCAGCTCCTCACCGATGCCTTCCGGGAGGCCCAGCGGGGGGCTGTCCAGATCCAGGAAGCCCTGCAGGAGAGCTTCCAGGTGGAGGAGGACTGAACTCTCCCTGCAAGCCCTACTGGGGCCTTCTTCCACCCTCCCCTCCTTCCCCCTTTCTAACGTAAAATAAAAATATCTGTTTTGCCAAAAAAACCCCTCTGTTTATTGTACATAACTGTGATGGGGGGAGGGAGGAATGAGAGTGGGAGAGGGGAGAGGGAATCCTGGGAGGAGAGAGCTGGAAGGGGGAGGAAAAGCTCAGGGATGGGGGTCCTGCTGGCTCTCCCGTCTCGCAGCACTGTGGGTGCAGAGGCGTCAGGAGGGAGTGGGTGTGGAGGGCAGGACAGGAGGGACGGGTGGTGTGGAGGAAGCAGAAGGGGAAGCAGGAGTGGGAGGAGGAGCGAGAGCTGGGGCGGCCATAGGAGCTGGAGCAGGAGGCGGCAGGAACCTGTCCACCAAGGTCTGGAGGTGACCTCTGAGGGCACGGCCCTGCTCCTCCAGTCAAGCTCTGCTGCCACAGCCACAGGTCCTCCTGGACCCAGTGGTCCTGGGTGCAGAGCTGGTGCTCCAGTAGCTGCAGGTGCCGCTGCTGATAGTCCTCCAGGTTGCAGGTGCTCCTGCTGGCCCGGGTGTGGGTGACTCTTGCAAGCGGGGTGGTGCATCCTGCAGTCTCAGGTGCTGCAGCTGTGGTGAAACAAGCACACAGTGGGTGAAACCCAGACCTCTTCTGCAAGGTGAGGTTGGCGTGTGGGGAGCAGGCCAGGGCCCCTGCATGACACCCAGCTGCTGCTCTACGGTGGGCAAGGCCCAGGCGCACAGTTCCTTGTGCCACCTCATACACATGCGGGGAGCATGATGGCACTCACATGTGGAGCCCTCCCAGGCCTCAGACGACACAGCCGATGTGCTCTGTGGGATGCCTCGGAGGTCCTGGGCAGGCTCCCTGCAGGCTCCTGGCTCTCGGTATCCCTTTCTCCTCCTCCGTGTCAGGGACGGGGCCCTCTGACCTGGGGTCGATCACCACCCAGGGAGCATGGATGGCGTGAGACCCCAGGATGTGGTCCAGGGCCTCATGATGAGGGCATACCTCCGGGTCGGCCCCTGGTTGGGAGGCTCTGGAGTTGGCCTGCCGCAGGTCCTTTATTTTGCAGCATATCTGCTCCCAGGTCCGCATTTGGCCTCTGGTGGCCAGCCTGGCAGCCATGCGGCTGTAGATGGCCACGTTCCTGTGGCTAGTGCGGAGATTGTGGATGTTGGAGGCCCTCCCCCCAAACCTCGATGAGGTCCATGATCTCCACACTAGACCAGGCGGGCACCTGCCTTTTGCAGCCCTGGGCAGGCTCCTGGGAACTGCCAGCCTGGTCCTGGGAAGAGGCGGAGGGCTGGGTGGCAGCAGGCTGGGTGGCAACAGGTGGCTGGCTCATCCTGTGCCAGGTGCAGGGTCTGCTGGCTGGGTGCTGGCCGGCTTGCAACTGGCACAAGCACTGTAACCATACCATGCCCCTTTAAGAGCTCCGGGGCTAGGAGGGGGGCAGAAGAGTTTCCCTGGTTTGGCCCAGAGTGGCCACCAGGGCCAGCTGGGAAGGGCCAGCCTCCAGAAGAGGCGGAGGGCTGGGTGGCAACAGGTGGCTGGCTCATCCTGTGCCAGGTGCAGGGTCTGCTGGCTGGGTGCTGGCCGGCTTGCAACTGGCACAAGCACTGTAACCATACCATGCCCCTTTAAGAGCTCCGGGGCTAGGAGGGGGGCAGAAGAGTTTCCCTGGTTTGGCCCAGAGTGGCCACCAGGGCAAGCTGGGAAGGGCTAGCCTCCAACTAGTTCGAATTAAGTGGCTACACAGCCCTTAATTCAAACTAGGCGTTAGTCCTCGTAGAATGAGGTTTACCTAGTTCGAATTAAGCACTCCACTAGTTCGATTTAAATTCAAATTATCGGTTTGTATGTGTAGTCTCTATTAAAGTTAACTCAAACTAACGGCTGTTAGTTTGAATTAACTTTGTAGTGTAGACATACCCTCAGTGCTTTGCCAGTGTGGACACCATGAAAGTTACAGTGCTGGAAGTTGATTTACTGCACAGTAACTTGCCAGTGTAGACTTGTTTAATAGTTTGAAGCAGAACTTGTGAGGAGATTAACACATCTCCTTGGATTTGGTGACTTTATCCCATGAGCTTGCTCTGCTTGTGTTTCCAGTCCCAACTTTCATGTGCAGATACAAACACAGGCTGGGTTGGCTTTTAGGCCATATTACAGTGCTGGAAGTTGATTTACTGCACAGTAACTTGCCAGTGTAGACTTGTTTAATAGTTTGAAGCAGAACTTGTGAGGAGATTAACACATCTCCTTGGATTTGGTGACTTTATCCCATGAGCTTGCTCTGCTTGTGTTTCCAGTCCCAACTTTCATGTGCAGATACAAACACAGGCTGGGTTGGCTTTTAGGCCATAGTGTTGGCAGATGAATCCTTTTCACAGATAGACACGTGGCCTGGCATTTATTAAAGCCCAGAGTGTTTGCCTGGACTCAGAATGCCAAGTGACCCATGTCACAACATTGCTAGCAAATAGACAGAAAAGTGTGTGTGTGTGGGGGGGGTGACCAATTCTCTCTTCAAGGTGCCAGTCCACGTTCCCACCCAGAACCAGCAGCCTGGCCTGCTAAACCCACGGTTGTGAGTTCAATCCTTGCTGTGGCTATTTAGGGATTTGGAAAAAAATTTTGTTAGGGATGGTACTTGGTCCTGCTGTGAAGGCAGGGGAGTGGACTCCATGACCTTTCAAGGTCCCTTCCAGTTCTAGGAGATAGGCAATCTCCCCCCCCCCCCCCAAAAAAAAAAAAAAAGGCCACTTGGGACAGAAGAATCCCCAGCATTGTTACAGGCTGGGGACTAGTTGGCTAAGTAGCAGTTCTGCAGAAAAGGAGCTGAGGATTACAGTGGACAAGACACTGGATATGAGTCAACAGTGTGCCCTTGTAAGCAAGAAGGTTAATGGCATAATGGGTTGCATTAGGAGAAGCATTGCCAGCAAATCCAGAGAACTGATTATGCTCCTTTAATCGGCTCTAGTGAGGCCACATCTGGAGTATTGTGTCCAGTTCTGGGCCCCCAACTATAGGAAGGATGTGGATGCATTGGAGAGGGTCCAGCAGTGGTTGACCAAAATGATTAAGGGGTTGTAGTATATGACCTATGAGGAGAGGCTGAGGTATTTAGGTTTGTTTAGTCTGCAGAAGCGAAGGGTGAGGGGGGATTTGATAGCAGCCTTCAACTTCCTGAAAGGAGGTTCCAAAGAGGCTATAGAAAGGCTGTTCACAGCCAGAGAGATGCCGCCATCTCCTCACAGTCTGTTGGTGGGTGGGAGTGAGGCTGCCCGGAGGAAACTAGGCTGCCACCAACTTCCATTTCCAATGGGACAGAAGCTGACATGCAACATGGCTGCCTCTGCATGGCTGAGGGGACTGGACAGACTGAAGTAAGGAGGTGGGGGCAGGAAGGGAGCAGAGCACTGGAAGGACAGGGAGGTAGAATTAGGGGTTGCAAGGGAACGGGGGAGGCAGTGTGGGGGCAGGAGGGAAAAGCAGTGAGTGGTACTGGGTCTGGAGCTGGGGGTTGGGAAGGAAGGGTGGGAAGGGAGAGGGTTCTGAACAGGGTAGCAGGAAGAAGGGATAGGGAGTGAAGTGGTGAAGGTCTGGAGGTGGGGGGGAGTAAAAGTGAGAGGGGGCAGGGGCTGGATCAGCCCCAACACTGGCCACAAGGGAAAATCTGAGTCAGCTCTGCCCTCCCAGAGGCTCTCTCTGCACTGTGCACTGATTTCAAAATAACTTTAAAATACCAGGCTTCTTACTCCGACTCCTGTAACCCTCAGTTCACAATGAGTAAGGGGAAGAGTGTCTTCCTTCAACTGCATGCTGTGTAGATTGTGCCAAAAGCTGAGTTATTTCAACTTCAGCTACACAATTAATATAGCTGAAGTTGCTCAGCTTCATTTAACTTTGCCCCGCAGTGCAGACGTAACCAGAGGCCAGTGCCCAGGGTAGTAGCCAATGGTGTTCATAGCTGTTTCAGTACAAATGAACCATAAGTCCCCTGCTGGATGACAGTTTGCTCAGGGTTTCTGGGTACCAGCCCCAAGTTACTGAGCTGTCTGAAATACTAAGCAGGGAAGGTTTCTCTAAGCCAGTAATTCACACTGGTATTTGAGGACCAGCTTCAATGTCAGTTTCTCAGGCTGGTGCAGCAGCACATTAGGCTCCCCTGAACCAGCTACCACTGAGCAGTTCAGTGCCCTGTGTGATGGGGTGAGGTCACAGAAGACCCTTTGTGGGGGCTTCCCAGGGTGCTGACAAAGCCACTGCCACTTGCCTTCCTGCTCCCTGGGGCTTCTCACCACCCTGTGCTCCAGGACTAGCTTCCTGGTCTCCCCTAGCCACAACACCAAGCTGAGATCACTGCCCCTCCACCCCACCAAGAAGCAGTACAGACACAGAAACTCTTCAGATCTAGGGAAAATGCAGTTTAGGGCCCAGCTTCCCAAAGTCTGCCACCCCCATCCCACCGGTGCTCAGCCTGCCTGGGCTTGGGACACTACTTGGCAAAGATCCTGCAGCTCCCTCTGTGCTGACAGCATGAGAGCAGCCCTGACACTGGGCAGAGGGAGCCTTGGGGGAAAGAAACCAACGTGGCCATGAGAGGCAGATACAGCACTTCAGCCATGCAGCTCCTGCTGGTCGGGTCTCACTCAACTCCAGCTGGGATTCAAAGCTTCTCTGCTCCAGCAGGAACCCTGGCAGAGGGAGGCAGGGATCTTGCAGGGCCCTTGGGCACAGGGCATTACACACTGACTGCCCCTCCCCCCACACATGCTGGATTAAACCCATCACTTTGCACTTGCAAAAAGGTACTGGGTCCAGTGAGTGAATGGGAGGAAGGAGCTGAGACTTGACCCTTGGAGCTTTGGCATTCTGAACCAAACAGACATTTCTGCTGTGACCCGAATTAATGATGTATCCATTGGATCTAACACTCTTAAGTGAGGCCTGGCCAAGGATCTGTGCCCCTGGAGAGGGTTGATTCTAGTTGGTGCTTGGTCCCACCCTCTCGAACGTCCTTCCACTTCTGTGACACATTCTCAGATCCCACAACACTGACAGTTTCCAGAGAAACTGAGCTGTCCAGACACCTACAGAGATGCCTTCCTGCCCTTTCTCATTGTATGCAGCACAGCGTGGGTCTTCTCTAGTGCCCCACCAGAAATCTGGGTTTGGCTGGGTGCCAGGAAAGTCACCACATTTAGATTATTTTAGGAACGATGACAGAGCAAATCCCAGAGTCCTGCAGCCTCCACAGGGAGCATCCTGCCAGCCACCCTTCTCCTTTGCAAAAGTGGGATTCAGCTCAGATGCCCCGCTGACCATTGCCAAGGGTGAACGGCCTGGGAAGAGGGGTGATCCCTCAAGCAGGTTGGTCCCAGGCCATTTAGGACTTTCAATCAACACCTCAGTTTCCACTCCAAGAGGCAGCCACTGTAGGCTCTGCAGCGCTGCTGGAACATGCTCCCAGTGAGATGCCCCACTCAGTGAGTGATCCTCTGCATTCTGCACTTGCCGCGATGTCTGAATAGTGTCAAGGTGCAGCCCCATTCAGACATTACTTCAAGAGCCTAATCTAAGCTAACCATTGAGGGGTAACAGTGGCAAAGGCCCACCCTGAAAGGGAAAGTGAGAATCTCAGGCCAGACACAGATGGGAAAAAGCCCAAAGTAAAAGTTACCATCCTAGTTCCAGTTCACCCAGCTCCTGGGGCAATACATAGGACACTTACCTGCTGTCTCCTACATTCTGAGGAGAAGAAGCCAAAGCACTGGAGAGCAGAGATGTCCCTTAATCACCAGCCTTGTTTCTCCCCTTCCCTCCTTGCTGCACCAAATCTCTGCCAGGGCTTCTCAGTGTCTCACAAGTGACAACAAAGCTGTGGAAGAGGAATATATAGATTCAGAGGCTGGTATCAGCTGTGGAAAGGAGCCAATAGCAAACCCACCTGCCTTTTTAGTTATCAGTGGTTTGATCTGTGATTTTGAGCAGCTGAAACAGCCAGTAAAAGTTGAAAGCATCAAACATCACCATATGTGAGTGATGGGACCCCTCCTGACATCAGGTTTGCCTGCATCTCAGATGATCCAGTTACCCCCAGTCTCCGGTGGGGGAAGGAAAAAGTGCTGTACAAACTGTGCCTGTGCTGTATCTCACCCTGGTAGTTTTTATATTGTGTTAAACATCAATTGGGAGATGTTAGAGGCTAGGAATTTTCTGAAGGAGGGACAAGACCCCCTGTGTGAAAGGTGATCATTTCAAGGCCAAATCCTGGCATAGCACATGGCATATTGTAGAGAAGAACAAGTCACTAGAACCAGATTGTGCCACTCAGGTCAGCTGTTGTAGGAAAGGAATTACTTCAGCCCCATCTGTAATATTGGTAATTCTTAGTGCTTTCTGCAAAGTCCATGACTACCCTTGGCAGCTGTAGTTTGTGAGGTTTCCTGCCTAGAGCATGATCCTTAGTGGCAGAGGGGGAGTTCAGGGCTTCTTAAACAGGCCAATGCCCCTCTCTTGCAGTAGAAGGCTGCCATGCACAAGCCACACCCATTGGAGCTGTCAGCAGGGTAAGGGCTCCTTGGAAACAAATGTGCTTGATCCATGTGAATCAGAGAGGAAAGGAAGGGGCACAAAGCAAGGGGCACATAGCACAGAACAATGACCGGCTGCTCCACACCAACCTGAGACTCTGAACTGTTACAAATACTTTGACTGAGTGAAAGATCTTCATTTCTTTACCTTTGTAAAGAGTCCCTCATGCTGCTCTTTCTGTGTGTTCCCAGCCTTGACCTGTTCCTCCTTCAGATCCATCCTTTAGACACAGCTCAGTTGTGATTAGGGCAAAACACAGTGGCATCATACACAATATTCCACACAGAGATCTTGTTCTGATATGATTATGACATAACACTGATGTATTTCAAAGGAGATAGGTCATGTGAGGTACCAGTGAAGAGGTTATGATTTGCTAGGCATGCTTATTCCATTTGTACACACGTAGGATTTTTCCATCTGAAGTTAGGAATATTGTCTCTGCATCTATAGAGCATGCATTTACAGCTGTAGGAACAGCCACTCTGCAAAATGCAACTTGTGTAGGAGTCTCCCTGAAAAGGGCCAATAGAGAGAATAATAGGTCTTAGAAGATGCGAGTCACTCACTGATAAGCCTTTCAGGTGATGCATCATACAGCCTTTGAACTGTAACTGCAAGGCCATGTGATCAAATCACTTGATTTTGGACTCCATGATAATTCTACTCACTGAGAAAGGGGATTAAACTTGGAAAGAAATTATTCTCATAGGCTACGTCTACACTGGCCCCTTTTCCGGAAGGGGCATGTAAATTTCACTAGTCGTCGTAGGGAAATCCGCGGGGGATTTAAATATCCCCCGCGGCATTTAAATAAAAATGTCCGCCGCCTACTTTGAAGTAGGAATAAGAGCCTCCGGAAAAGGGCACTTTTTCCGGAGGATCGGGGCCAGTCTAGACGCTCTTTTCCGGCTTTTTTAAAAGCCGGAAAAAAGCGGCGGACATTTTTATTTAAATGCCGCGGGGGATATTTAAATCCCCCGCGGATTTCCCTACGACGACGAGTGAAATTTACATGCCCCTTCCGGAAAAGGGGCCAGTGTAGACGTAGCCTTACAGCGGCTTTTAAAAAAGCCGGAAAAGAGCGTCTAGACTGGCCCCGATCCTCCGGAAAAAGTGCCCTTTTCCGGAGGCTCTTATTCCTACTTCAAAGTAGGCGGCGGACATTTTTATTTAAATGCCGCGGGGGATATTTAAATCCCCCGCGGATTTCCCTACGACGACTAGTGAAATTTACATGCCCCTTCCGGAAAAGGGGCCAGTGTAGACGTAGCCATTATGTACAAAAATTATTTAAGGCAGGTGTTATGTTACTGGATTTTAAGGGGAGCAGCCAGATCACTGCTGCACCAATGGGGGGGGGGTGTTGGCCCCTAAAGTGGTACAAAAGGAGCCATGTGAAGTGTAAAATAGAAGCTTACTTTCTTCTGATTCTATATATGCTATTCATGTAATTGTATAATGTCTGTGTGTGTAGTTATAAGCATGTACTTTGTGTGGATACTGAATGTTTTTCTGTATGTGGTTGAGCAATGGGCAAAGAAGCTCGGCCTATGGACATGCTAATGAGCAAGTCTATATGGAACAATAGCCCTCTATAGGCCAAGGACACACCTCAAGAATGGTGACTGATACCTAAGGGTTACCAGCAGGGAACACAGGAATAGACCACTGGCCAGGTGACCTGCTGCAGCCAAGAAGAGACGAGGAAGGAGCTGTACAGGGGCCATGTAGCATCTTCCATTTGGTGCTCAGCTCAGCTCTTCATCCCAGATGCAGCATTGCAGGGATCAACGAGACGGAAAGATCTGTGGACCCATCCTGAGATAGGATGTACACCAAGGACTTTTAAGTCAGCAGTTATAACATCTCTGCAGCAAGCCTGCATCGAGAACTGGGAGATTCGATGCATGTAATGTATGATACTTTAACAACCGTACTCTCGCATTTTTCTTTCTTTTAGTAATAAACCTTTAGATGTTAGATTCTAAAGGATTGGCTCAGCGTGATTTGTGGGTAAGATCTAGAGGGTAAGTTGATTGGGATCTGTGGCTGATTTATTGGGACTGGACAGAACCTGTTTGGGGTAGATGAGATTGGGTTTTAAAATCCCTCACCTGTGGGCAGGCCTGGGGCTGTTTGGGGCACAGAGAGAGCTGAGGTGTCAGAGGAGTTTTACTTGTGAGGCTTCAGGCTGGCCAGGCAGGCAGATGAAGTGCTCTGAGGGACTGGTTTGTGGCCTGTTTGGGAAGGTCTCCAGTCTGGGGGCTGTAAGGAGCCCCAAATTTGAGCAATTTTTTAAAAAAAACTCCCTTTAGAAAAATGTTTATGCTAATGAGCTGCGGGATATTTAAATCCCTGCTTCGTTAGTAATTTCAATGTGCCTAATCTATATCTCTCTGTCAACAGAGAGGCATAGTCTAGACACACCTTGAGGGAGACTGCCTTGTTCAAGTTTAACTTTGGGCAGACTAGACTTTACTGCGCTTCTCCGGTACCTAACCCACCCCCTCCCCAGTCCCACAGCCATACTGTACTGGAGACCCAGAGTTCAGTCTGTAGGGAATTTCAGCAAGGATTGCCCAGTATCAGCCTCTCTACATTCAAGTTCCAAAGGAAACTAAAGAAATGAATTTAATTAAATAACTATACAATCTTATGATGAAACAATTTAATTTTTACAATGGAACACAGCTATTTTATACCCCACAGATATTGTCCACACTTACAGTAAACATAAGTAAAAAGAAAACTAAAAGTAAAATTTGAACAGTTCAGTCCACACAAACGCATTAAGAAGCTCGGATTTAGTTCACCAAAGCCTCAGTTTGTGCTTCTGATCATCAAATCTGCTCCATATGCTGAGCCTGAAGCATCTCTATACTTGCTTGTAGGGAATCCTCAGTTGGAGTTCAGGTAGCCTCTTCCTCTGCCATGGATCACTGCTAGGCACTGATTAAACTAGTCAGTTAACTCACAAGTGAACAGGCTTAAAGAAACCCTGTTACAAGAAAATACAAAAACTAAAAATAACGAAGTAGAAAGTACTCTTTCCTCATTACTATAGTTACAGAGAAGCTGAAGAATCATACTTAGAAAGTAACTAAAACAGTTTGTATAAAATCAAGACTGCATTTAAAGCAGGCAATTAGCACAGAAGAAGCTTTTTTCCCTCTCAGGTTCTCCTTGCTCTAAGTAGCATTGCCCATGATCCCGACAGTGGGGAGCTTTTTCGACAGATCCTGAAATCCTCATTTTTTGAGGAATAAAATTAGTTCGAACCAAGGGGTTTGATTCGAACCAACGTGGCCCGGACCGCACTTTCACTTTTGAAACAGCTGGGTTCCGAAACAGCACATGGCCAAGATTATGCTAATAAAGCACGAGATATTTAAATCTTGGCTTCATTTACTATTTCGAATGCCTACATTTGCATCACCAGTTCAAAGTAGGACGCAAGTGTAGACATACCCTAAGAATTGGGCAACAAAACGGCAGATTAAATTTGATGTTTATAAATGTAAGGTAATGCATACTGGAAAAAATAATCCCAACTATACATGCAATATGATGCAGACTAATTTGGCTACAACTGCTCTAGAGAGAGATCTTGGAGTCATTGTGGTAATTCTATGAAAAGATCCACTCAATGTACAGCAGCAATCAAGAATGCAAATAGAACGTTAGAAATCATTAAAAAAGGGACAGAAAAGACAGAAAATATCTTATTGCCGCTATATGAAACCATAGTACGCCCACATCTTGAATACTGCATACAGGTGTGGTCGCCTCATCTCAAAAAAGATATATTGGCATTGGAAAAGGTTCAGAAAAGGGCAACAAAGATGAGTAGGGGTTTGGAATGGGTCCCATATCAAGAGCGATTAAAAATACTTGGACTTTTCAGCTTAGAATAGAGGAGACTAAGGCTATGTTTAGACTATACTAGACTTTCGAAAGAGGATATCTTGTTTCAAGCTCACTATTGAAAGCAGAGCTTTCAAAAGTGAAAGTAATTTAGACATGGCTTTGTTGGCGAACTCCTCCATTTGTCGACAAGCCACTTTTCCTTAAAAAATAAAGTTTACACATTGTTTTTGATTTTGAAAGTGAGCTTGAAAGAAGATATGCAAATCCCCGTAGAATTTACATATCCTCTTTCAAAAGTCTAGTGTAGTTTAGACATTGTCTAAAGGGGATATCATAAAGGTCTATAAAATCATGACTGGTGTGAAGAAAGTGAATTGGGAAAAGTTATTTACTTGTTCCCATATTGCAAGATCTAGGGGGCACCAAATGAAATTAATAGGAAACTAGTTTAAAACAATCAAGAGGAAGCTTTTCTTCACTCAGCGCACAGTCAACCTCTGGAACTCCTTGGAAGATGATGTGGTTAAGGTTTGGAATTTAACAGGGTTCAGAAATAACCAGACAGATTCATGGAGGTTAAGTCCATCAATGGCTATTAGCCAGGAGAGATAGGAATGATGTCTCTAGCCTCTATTTGTAAATAGGTGATAGAGGAGGGATCACATAAGGATTACTTGTAGTTTTCCCTCCCTCTGGGGCATCTGGTATTGGTCACTGTCAGCAGCCAGGATACTGGGCTAGATGGACCATTGGTCTTTCCCAGTATGACCATTCTTATGTACCTTGTCCTTGGTTTTCCTCTTGCTTCTAATATATTGGTAGAAGGTCTTGTTACCCTCTATATCTCTGTCTAGACTGAGCTTGTTTTCTGCCTTTGCCTTTCTAAACTTGTTCCTGTACACCTACATTGTTTGCGTATGTTCATCCGTCATAATTTGACTAGTTTCCACTTTTACTAAGATTCCTTTTTGATTTTTAGATCGTGCAATATCTCCTGGTTGAGTCAAAGCAGCCTCTTGCCATACTTTCTATCTTTCCTACATAACAGAATAGTTTGCTTCTGAGCCCTTAATAATGCCCCTTTGAAAAACTCCCAAATCTCTTCAGTTGTTTTTCCCTTTAGTCTTGCCTCCTGTGGGACCTTACCCACCAACTCTCATTGTTTCTTTGTTGCTGTTCTCCCTTCTACCATTAGATTCATGAACTCTGTGATTTCATGATCACTTTCATCCAAGCTGCCTTCCACTTTCAAATTTTCAACTTGTTCTTCTCCATTTGTTAAACTCAAATATAGAACAGTTTCTCCCCTAGTAGCTTTCCCAACCTTCTGAAACAAAAAATTGTCTCCACTGCAGTCCAAGAACTTATTGGATAATC